GTTGGACTAGATGATCCTAAGGGTCTACAACTCCCACCAAAGAAGAGTGGCAGACAAAACTGATGAACGACGTGGAGATGGCAAAGCTTACAGACAGAATTAGAAACCAGGAAGAGGACCTCTTTAATAAAGAATGGGGAAAATTTATAATTTAGTTGGAAAGCTATTGTAAAGAGTTACATACATTGGTAGGATTGACAGAAAACCTGTAGTAAAAATTTGAACTATGGATAGACAAATGATTTATAAAAAGAGAGTTATGAAAGGGATGCAGAAGGAGAAATCACTACATTAAGATGCTGCACTGGTTGGAGGGGATGCTAAGCAGCACGTCGGGGCTGCCTTCGTCCTGGCGCAAGGAGTTCAATCGGCCCTTCCCCGCCCGAGAGAGAGGGAGGGAGCAAGATTCTTGCCCACGCCGCCCACGAGCCCGGCATGAGGCGCTTGTGGCGGTGGCGCCGCGACCGCTGAAGCACTGCCCTTTTGTGTCCCTCCCCATCCCCTCCTCTTCCTCCTCCCGCAGGCTGCCTCCTCAGCCGCCACCGCCACCTCTGGCTTCGTCTGGCAGCACAGCAGAAGTCTCGCAAGAGAGGGGCTGCCTGCCTGCCCGCCACCACCCGTCTCCTCACAACGCACCCCTGAGGGGGGAAAGGGAGAGACGGAGACGCGACAGCTTGTGCGCGCTCTCTCTCTCACTCTCTCTCAGAGGAGGACCCCGAGCCGCTGCTTCCCTCCCGAGCCGGGCGAGCGTGAAATTTAAGGGACATCATCAATAAGGGACAGCAGCGGGACACGGCGCTGGGAGAAGGGAGTTTCCCACCAAATAAGGGACAGTTGACAGCTATGACACTGAGCGGCAGGACCAGAACTTTGGTTAGCAGCTGGGCTACAAATGTTCCAGATAAAGGAAACTTCCTGCGAATGACAAACAGTCCGTCACTCTGCATATTTACTCAGAAGTAAGTGAGTCCCGCTGAGTTTAATAGAACTTGCTGCCAGGTGAACATAAGACTGCAGCCTTATTCTCTTCCAGATTCTCAAATGCGCTTTTGCATTTATGAATTATTTAAAGTTAACACAATTATGAAAAACATGGGATTTCATTAAACAGATAAAATTACATTTCAGTCAATACCGAAGCCAATCTGCGCAGAACGGCATACTTTTAAAAGTCTCCGTGTTCTATTAAAAAAATTACGAGGCTGTCTCCTCTCTGTGAACTTAACCGAATCTGTCAGTCACATTAATTCAAAGTCATTCCAGCTGCTGATGAACCAGCCATTGCCTGATGAAGGGGTCCTCTTTCGGTTTCCAGGCTGAAGTACGCCATATATAGATAATATAAATAGATATATATATAGATATACACACACAAACAAACACATAATATTTTTATTGCAAACATGTCTTAAGATGGCTTATGTTAACAGCAAATCATTTTTTATTAATAAGAAACATTAAAATATACAATTCAATTCACAATAAAAGTCAGTTTAAACAAGCCCAATCCAACAAAAGACTAAAATACAATAACCTATTAAACATTAAAAGCTTCCCGAAACAGGGCTGCCTTCAGATGTCTTCTAAAAGTCTGGTAGTTGTTGTTCTCTTTGACATCTGGTGGGAGGGCGTTCCACAGGGCGGGTGCCACTACCGATATGGCCCTCTGCCTGGTTTCCTGTAGCTTTGCTTCTCGCAATGAGGGAACCGCCAGAAGGCCCTCGGCGCTGGACCTCAGTGTCCGGGCAGAACGATGGGGGTGGAGACGCTCCTTCAGGTATACTGGACCGAGGCCGTTTAGGGCTTTAAAGGTCAGCACCAACACTTTGAATGGTGCTCGGAAATGTACTGGGAGCCAATGTAGGTCTTTCAAGACCGGTGTTATGTGGTCTCGGCGGCCGCTCCCAGTCACCAGTCTTGCTGCCGCATTCTGGATTAGTTGTAGTTTCCGGGTCACCTTCAAAGGTAGCCCCACATAGAGCGCATTGCAGTAGTCCAAGCGAGAGATAACTAGAGCACACACCACTCTTGGCCAGACAGTGCGCAGGCAGGTAGGGTCTCATCCTGTGTACCAGACGGAGCTGGGAGACAGCTGCCCTGGACACAGAATTGACCTGCACCTCCATGGACAGCTGTGAGTCCAGAATGACTCCCAGGCTGTGCACCTGGTCCTTCCTTGGAGGTGCTTAAGCAGGTGTCAGGTGGCCACCTTTGAGGAATGATTTAGTTTTGATTCTTGCATTGGGCTGGACTAGATGATCCTTGGAGGAACCTTCCAACTCTACACTTCTATGATTCCTTATTCACTTCGATTGCAGAGAAGGGCAGTTTTCCCTCTGCAACCAACGCCTGCCTTGCCCTTCCTCTCTCTCTTAGAATGCCAGTCCAAAATCCCCTCTTCTCCCTTGCATTTCCACCTCTTCCCAAAGGCGTGAAACAAAAACAGCATTTGCAAGTCCTGTTCCTGCCCCCTCCCCTCTTTCCCTCCCCCTCCCCCAATATCTCAGGCACTTCCAGAGCTCGCTTAAGCGGGAGTTACCAGCAGGGTCCAGCGATAACATTTCCCTTGACAGCTAGTGACTGCTGGTCGATAACATTTCTATCCTGAAATGGAGAGGAGAAGGGAGCAATCTCCATGGTTCTGAGTGGAGATCATTATCTCCCGAGAGGAGGGGTCTGCTGGGTCTGGGGAAGGGGAGAGCCGCGTACAGCAAGGCAGCCTTCAACCTGACCGCCAGAGGCAACCATCCCCATCCTCACCTTGCTCAGAGCAGGTGGCCGCAGGTGACTCACTGGGACTCACACATGACGACCCAGGGCTGTACAGTGGTCCCTTGGTTCTCAAACTTAATCCGTTCTGGAAGTCTGTTCCAAAACCAAAGCGTTCGGAAACCAAGGCACACTGCTTTCTCATAGGAAGTAATGCAAAACGGATTAATATGTTCCAGACTTTTAAAGACAACCCCTAAAACAGGAATAGAACATGAATTTTACTGTCGAACGAGACCATTGATCCATAAATGAAGGCAACGAACAATATACTGCAGTCACCAGATCAATCCATCAGTAGCTGAACTGGGTTCCACACAGCCACAAAAACAAAACAAAAAGAGCCGCAAAAACGAAACGCAAAATAAATAGCAAAAATAGACAGACAGCATAACACTCAAAACGAAGCACGTTTGGCTTCCAGGAAAAGTTCACAAACATTTACTTCTGGGTTTGCAGTGTTTGGGTTCCAAGTTGTTCGAGGACCAAGGCATTTGAGAACCAAGGCACCACTGTATATAAGGCCTGGATTGCAGCCCATGACGGTTTTCGCAGGGAGGAAACATGATATTTTGCAGTCATAAGAACATAAGCAGAGCCCGCTGGATCCGATCAGTGGCCCATCTAGTCCAGCATCTTCTCCTCACAGTGACCAACCAGGTGCCCCATTATAACAAATCCA